GGATCTCAAGAAACAAACGTTTTGTACGTATTCTTGGTAGTATTCCTTGAATAGATGCAGGATATGTGAGGGTTACTTATGTTCTTGTTCTCTCAAATGAAATATAATTAATTAGAAATTTCTTCACTACTGATTAAGTTTGTAGAAATCAAGTAATTTTTATTTTTGAATATACTTGCTCTTGTGTTTGGTTGGTTTTTTTTGTTTGTTTCAGTTTAAATTTTTAAAGGTCTTATGTCAAGGCATTGATCCTAAAGGCGTAAAAGCAAATTGTTTTTCATTTTGAATATTTTGATACAACTTGCAGGATTATAACAAGAGCTGTCCGTTAAGACCAAGCTTTTGCACCGCTCGATCTTTTTTATTGCTTGGCATATAATACAAAACTTTGATTCAGTTAAGTTGCAATGAATTTACAACTACAATCTTTGACAGAAATTACCTCTATCCTGGAGACATTGATTTGGGAATATGATTGTAAAAGTATTCCATACTCAAATTTATCTCAAACAGTTCAGTTCTAAAAAGTTTGGTACTAAGGTAATGCTAAAAACTTAACACAGATTTTCTAAGTCTCGATATATAAAGGCCTTAATATTTATAATAAATCCTTGATCAGATATTTACTCTTTCTTGCGTACTCAGTATGGTGGGTAATGATGTGCATAGCTATTAATAAGTGTTTCTCAAAGCAATTATATCTCAAGGGTTAAATAGGCTTAATAAGTGGATTTTATCCCATATTTCAATGTATTTTCTAATTTCTCAAAAGGGGCATATTTTTTCTGTTCAAAAAACCTTGACAGAGTTATGTCCTCTTGTCTGTTGATGGAAGGTCTTGATGGTAAAAAGTATGGTCTCAGTTTTCAAAGCAATTACTCCAATGGTTTTTGAAATAAAGTGAGGTGGTACAAAAAACTTAACCAAGATTCTAAGTCGATAAAAGGCCTTAATTTTTAAAACAAATCCTTGACAGAGTTACCTTCTCTTGCGTACAGATGGGGGGTAATTGATGTGAAATAGCATTAAAAGTTTCAAAGCAATATCTCAAGGGTTAATGGCAATAAGTGGATTTTACCCATATTCAATGTATTTTCTAAGTCAAAAAGGGGCATTTAACTTTCTGTCAAAAACCTTTGACAGAGTTATGTCCTTTCTTGTTTGTTTGATGATTAGGGTCGTGATGGTAAACAAGTAGTTATTGGTCAGTGTTTCAAAGCAATACTTCCAATGGTTTTGAAAATAAAGTGATGTGTTGGTACAAAAAAACTTAACCAAGCTCAATACACTTTCTAAGTCAAAAAATTTAAGGGCCATAATTCTGTCAAAAAACCTTGACAGAGTTATGTACTCTTGTCTGTAGATGGAGGTTTATGATGTTTGTGAACATAGTTTTGGTAAGTTCAAAGCCATACTTGTAATACTTTCTGAAATAAAGTGGTTTTCTGGGTGGTACGAAAAAACTTAACCAGATTGGTGTGACGCCAACGCTAACTGCCGACGCCGGGGGCGAGTAGTTTGATAGCTCCCCTTTTCATAGAAAAGTCGAGCTAAAAATAAATGTGACTTGTCAATGTGACAGAGTACATGCTGTCGAAGATTTTTTACTCATAGTTAGAGCTTATTATTAAACGTAGAATCTAGGCTAGTGCCTGTCCGATTTCTATAAGTTTTTAGGTCGCTTTTAGAGAATCATCTGTTATCATTTGTACATTAACCAGTTCTTGGTTTTTTTTTGTGTCATGTCACACTGTACTAGCTCTGGCTGTAAGAACGGTAGTTCAGAAGTTATCAGCTCTTGGCAAAAGGTGAAGGCAACTGTTATACTTGTTTAAAATGTCATTGACTCAGTGAAACCTGCCCAGCAATTTAATTGCAGTGTGACTGACACTGTTGCTCAGTATAGTCATGTTTGGCTTTGATTGAAAAATATTCAACACCACCACTATTGTTTCAGCTACCTAGTGACCAGTGGATTTCATTTTGTATGGCAAGAAAAATTCGACTGTCCAGCTCTCTTTCATTTTTTTGAATACCAATTTCATTTTATTCACTTTTTAGGGATAATTCTTATTTCGTAATGTTTATAGTTTTCATTTGGAACAGTTATAATTAGAGCCATGTCAGACTCATTCTCTTTTTGGGAACTATATACAAACACATATTTCCTTATCATACAAGTATTTTGGAAAGCAACCTTTTCACAATTTTCATACAAATTTATATTTATTTGGTAATTTCTTTTAGGATTCTCAAGATTAAAAATTTTGGTTAGCCAACTCTTAATCCGAGCCTGGTCATGACTGTCCATATATGAACGTGTTGGTAACATCTTAAGAATCTTAATGGTTAATTTTAGGGACCGCTTTATTATGTGGCACTAATCAGGAATCATTAAAAAATATTGACATATAGTAGATGATGTATACCTTAAAGTAGCACCTGGTATGCATAATTTTAAACAAAGTTTACCGTACGGAAATCAAGTTATGGCCACTTTTCTGAACTCAAGCTAAGATGTTATGAGGGCTCTTTTTTTAGAAAGTAGGAACCTTTAAATAATTCTGCAATAACATTCTAATGAAATATGATTTCCCATTAACTTTTTTGGTAAGAAACAAATTTAGTACCATTCAGCTAACAATCCAAATAAGCAAAATTATGGTTTCTACTTAAAATTTAATAAAATCTGTATAAAAATGTTACCCTACCCCACCCATTTTTACCACGTGTCTGACCATTTTTCTACTTAGGGAGCCTAATTTTTTAAAAAATTCTTTCAAAATTTACCCAAATGAGTGCCTGTTTTCAAAGTTTCCCTCAATTTTTAAGAATTAGTATATTGGTTGATCTTGTAAAATTCATGAAATACTTTTACCGTCTAGTTTTGATTATATTACACTTTGAAAATATCAGGTACCATATTTATTACTAGATTTAGCATAATTTAGCCAATAAATACCTATATAAATTAAAAAATCAAAATTAAACACTTTTTTCTTTCCAAATGGGACATGAGAGATACATAAATAATGTTAAAAGAAACAAGAGGGCCATGATGGCCCTGAGGTCGCTCACCTGTATATAGGCCCCCCACCCCCGGGCCAATTTTTACCCAAGGGCTTTTATTTGTTTATTTGAACAGACTTGGTAGACACCCATAAGAAGATGTTTCATGCTAAACATCTAAGTTCTAGCTCATTGGCTCTTTTAAAAGAAGATTTTTAAAGTTTTTACTATACACATGTAGTTAAAAACAATGACACCCCGGGGCAGGGCCAGTTTTTTTGACTCCCGGCGCGTTTATTTTAACAAACTTTGTAGATATTTACTTAAAGATGTTTCATGCTTAATATCTAAACTCTAGCTATTTGGGTTTTTCCAAAGAAGATTTTTAAGTTTTTTGCTATACACATATAAGGAAAATCAATGACCCCCCCGGGCGGGGCCAGTTTTTGACCCCAGGGCTTTTATTTGAACATACTTGGTAGACACCCATTAGAACATGTTTCATGCTAAATATTCTTAGCTCTAGCTCTTTGAGTTCTTTTAAAAGAAGATTTTTAAGTTTTTACTATATGCATTATAGGGAAAATCAATGACCCCCTGGGGCAGGGCCAATTTTTGACCCCAGGGCTTTTTATTTGAACAAACTTGGTAGACACTCATTAGAAGATGTTTCATGCCAAATATCTTAGCTCTAGCTCTTTTGGGTTCTTTAAAAGAAGATTTTTTTAAGTTTTACTATATGCATATAAGGGAAAATCTATTGACCCCCTGTGGGCGGGGTCAATTTTGACCCCAGGGCTTTTATATTTGAACAAACTTGGTAGACATTCACTAGAAGATATTTTCATGCCAAATATTCTAAGCTCTAGCTCTTATGGTTCTTTAAAAGAAGATTTTTTAAGTTTTTACTATATGCCATATAGGGAAAATCAATGACCCCTTGGGGCGGGGCCAATTTTGACCCCAGGGCTTTAATTTGAACAAACTTGGTAGACACTCACTAGAAGATGTTTCATGCTTAATATCTTAGCTCTAGCTCTTTGGGTTCTTTAAAAGAAGATTTTTTAAGTTTTTACTATATGCATATAGGGAAAATCAATGACCCCCTGGGGCGGGCCAATTTTGACCCCAGGGCTTTTATTTGAACAAACTTTGTAGACATTTCACTAGAAGATGTTTCATGCCAAATATCTAAGCTCTAGCTCTTACGGTTCTTTAAAAGAAGATTTTTTTTAAGTTTTTACTATATGCATATAGGGAAAATCAATGACCCCCCGGGGTGGGCCAATTTTGACCCCAGGGCTTTTATTTGAACAAACTTGGTAGACACTCACTAGAAGATGTTTCATGCCCAATATCTTAGCTCTAGCTCTTTGGGTTCTTTAAAAGAAGATTTTTTTAAATAATGTTTTTACTATATGCATATAGAGAAAAATCAATGCCCCCCTGGGGCGGGGGCCAATTTTTGACCCCAGGGCTTTTATTTGAACAAACTTGGTAGACACTCACTAGAAGATGTTTCATGCCAAATATCTAAGCTCTAGCTCTAATGGTTTTTTAAAAGAAGATATTTAAAGTTTTTTCTTTTGGTTGCCATGGCAACCAGAGTTCTGCATGGAATTAAATTCTTTGAACAATTTTTAAAGGTGACCACCAAAGGAACATTCCTGTGAAGTTTGGATGAAATTGGCTCAGTGGTTTATGAGGAGATGTCATTTAAAGCAAAAGTTTACGGACGGATGGACGACGGACGGACGGACAGACGCCGGACGAAATACGATAACAAAAGCTCACCCTGTCACTTTGTGACAGGTGAGCTAAAAAAGAAAGAAAAAAAAAGTTGACCCTTCTGGGGATTGAACCCATGGCCCTCATTTTCTATGTAGTTAACAGTAGTTCTAGCCTATTTGAATACTCTTCAAAGCGGAGGTAATGCATTAGGGTGCTAATACCTTAAGGTATAGATGCATTAACATAAAATCCAGCCTTACCTCATCATTATTAGAACCCTTGAAGTTGAACAGGGATTTTACTCTTTTAGGGGGCTGCCCGGGCTCCCCCATACTCAGTAAGCCCGGTGGTTTAGGTGGAAGATCCGGTTTCGCTATGGGCGGAGTAGCGCACTTGGGCGGAGTAGAGGACGGTCCAATTACAGAAGCGGTGGCTGTGGCAGTGGCAGTGATTCTTGTAGGGAAGATATTAGCTATCGGTTCATAGTGGTTCTCTATAGCAGTTGGTGGCTCATCAAAAGCTCTTCCTGTAAGAATATAATATAAAAATTTAATATCAAACATTTGCTTTTAAATGTTCTATTTTCTTTCACGTATTAACAATATATCACACTATAGCTCATAGCACATCCTCAAAGTGACCCCCTTTTAGATACTGGTCCAAGACCACCATGATAAAAAATATTACAGAAAAATGACAATTTTCTTAATTTCCTAAGTTTATAAATGGATAAAAATAACATTTTCTAATTTCAAAACAGCATTCATGAAGACCTTTTTCCCAATTCTTTAAATATCATTTACCTACCACTTTCGAAATGAATTTTAAAAACAGACGACTTTTCCAAATTTGTAAATATTTTACCTTTTCCTAAATGCAAACATATAAAAATTAAGCCTTTTTTTAATTTTTGTATAAAACAATAAAATTACCATTTCCTAAATTCAAAGACAACCTATCAACAAATCCTTTAAATGCTTTCATAATGACTTAATACAACATTAAATTTTACACTTTAGAAATATTCTAAACTAGTAAAATATATATCCAAGGTGTCACAAATAAACATATGAGAACTATACAATACTATTTTTGATGATGAAAAGGGGGGCGAAAATATGTTTATCAACAATATGTTGCAAAATTTTTCACTATTGTATTTATGTGTATACAATCACCGTCCATACTGTAGAGGTGGTGTTCGATATAGGTGCTTAAGTACTTTGTCTACAATAAAATTGTATTTTATGCTTTTGATGATGATTGACACTTTATTGTTCACACAACATTTTGATCTCTACACAGGCTGGGAGGTTTCATTACTAGTAATTATACTATTTTAGTGTCGGCAGAATTGTTATATTTATATCTGGAAATAATAAAACCATGTTTTCCTTTTTGATTTGGACATTCAATATTTCCTTTTAAGAAATATTTATGAATGAGATCACGCTTGGAGATGTCATGTGAGAGACCATTAACTTTGGCTAAATCGCATGCAAATTGTGCTTGGTTCACTTCCTTGGCTTTAACGCCGATTTGTTTGTGTCAATTTCTAATAAAACAAAGGAGTTTTAGTAATTGCATAGAAAGCCTGAAGCAACTGTAGAGTAAGTATACTTAAACATACTTATATATTACTAGGGTGTGATGAGATGTCGCTGGACACCAGTAAGCTTACCAATATTTAATACCTATGAAGCAGGCTCATTATCAACTACATTATGATGAATCATGCAGTAAAAACACCTGTCAAGTTCTATCGAAACGCGACGCTGTCAGTTTTTTCGAAGGATTTTTGTTGAGGTAGGAGAGTGTTGTGCTTTGGATTCCGTGGTTTTGTTTCTCTAGCGTATTTTATTTTTAGATAAATGTGTTGCAACCGTGTAGCAGTATATATACTGGGACAATGCATAAATTATTTTTAAAATGTAACAGAGATGCTCATAGAAATGCTTTATAATGTTATTATATTAGGTTGGTTTGCAGCTTATTGTCTTCCAAGCATCTGCCAGCATAATACTTTAGTAATAATACTGAGTGTCCAAGCTTGCATAAAATTAGGGCCAACTTGCCACATGCTCAAAGCAGTACACAAGTAATATGGTTTCACTGTTTATCCTTGAAAAAATTTATATGACAGTTCTAAAAATTTACATTTATAAATTCATTTTTGCAGGAAATGGATTTAGTATTTTCAACAAAGTCTACATAAACTGGCAAATCTGATAACCAATCAGAACATCTCTCACACATAGAACGGGGCATAATTATATTGTCCAGAATCTGTAAAAGATTAGCTGGCCTACTGGTTTACCTTTCCAGATAATCACTTATCACTTATCTATACTGATAATAATCTACTAGATCTACTAGCAAATCACTCATAATGTATACGGCCTCAGGTGAACTTTTTCCTGCCTCTAGATCTGCCATTTCTTATATACATTGTATCAGACTGGCTTTTTCCTTGCTGGAAATTTCATCTGGCATAGAGGGTCACCAGATGAGTCGCATGCTGTACAATGGCACGCTTAGGATGACGTTATTTTACTGTTATGAATGAAGTTGTAATTTCATACGCTGTTGTAAGAAAATAGTTACGGGTGTAATGACAAAAATGTCCATGGAAAATTTTATGAAGGTAAAAAGTTTAACTTTTTAATGATTAATATAATGGAATATGGTAGAATATGCAAGAAGAAATATATCTGACATTATATTTATAGTCAGTAATTATAAACTTGTGTGACAATTGCTCATGCAATACTTTTGCAGCATTGTAAATCATTGGTGTATACTTTTAGGTCAGTTGAGTTCATTCACTGTATGTTAGAAACAATTTCACAGCGCTGTAGAGCTTGCTGAGCTTTATTTTCGGTTGGGTTAATTGCTGTTAATGTTCCATAAATACTATGCATAATTAATATGCATATCTTGGGGGCAAAAATTATAACTTCACATAAAACTCCAGAGAAAATCTACAGAATGTTGCTATATCAATCAAACTTAGTGTACAACTGTAGAAAAAGTGAAGAGAATATAATTTACAAATGGCTTCTTTTGTTTTAAGAACATACACATACATAGGTAGATATATACATATCATGACCTTGATAGACTTGTAGTAAGGATAAGTTGTCTTAAGGTACCAATTGTACATAGACCATACACTACATACATTCATCTAAAAGGCTGATTAGAAAACCATTTGACCATAAAATCACTGCAATCCCTCATTTCGAACCATAATTCCATAATTTCTGCAGGAAAAGGGGTACATACTATCATGAAGGTTACCTTGACCTTATTTCAATACCACATTTATAAAGCAAAGAGCTTTGCCGTGTAAGTGCCAGAGAATTGTTATTTTTAACCACCTGATACTGCTGATTTGCCTACTTCCTGCCATGTTCTGAAGGTAATCAGTGGTGGAAATCTAAATGGAATTAAAGATAACGTTGGTTCCATTGAAACATGTGTCTTATTTAGCCAATCTTCAATCTCCTATAAAGCATGAATCAACCATTTAATAGGCCAAGAAAAATATATGAAAGAATTATGGTGCAAACAATTCCTTCCACCTACAATAATGTCCTCATCCCTTTTGCTCCCCCCCCCCCCCCCCATCCCCAACCAAATATACCCTAAGGGCAAAAAACCCTGCTTTTCTCTCTTATTTCACAGGCGTTGGCTATATTTTCTTTAAAAGTATTAAAATACTTACTGCCATAGACATACAGTAAATAGTTGTAACATTAGGTTACAGGATGGAAATTCAAATTTTACCAAACTTAGGGTCAGCCAAATATCAGGAAAGGATCGAAAATTACTTTGATGTAGTCACAAAAAATGTGAGAATTTCTAATCCATCTAATAGTCCTTTTACAATTTTTTCTTCCAAAATTTCTTGAACAGTGATGTTGAAGATACATTATTTCTATTTATAAAGGTTTCCTAATTCCCAAAACACTTATATACTTTACAATGTGAACTGATTGGTATATAACATAATGTGGTAATTTTTTTTTTGTATTGTTTTGTATTTCATAAATGTAGAATGTAATAGGTATGTACATTTTATATCTGTTTTGTCTGTATGTATGTTTCTGGCAAGTTAGGTTCAACCTTTTACAAACCTGCATCAAACCTGATAGAGTGGGATAAAATGATCTTATGATCTTATATTATACTGCAACCAACTCACAGGTCTCGTCAAATTGATTTTTGTGTCCAGACAATTAAAGTAATAAATGTGACAATCTTCTTTTGTTGTTGTTTTTGTTGTTGTTTTTTTTTCGGTTGGGTTTTATGTCACACAGTATAGGTAATATGGCGACTTTCCAGCATAATTGGTGGAGGAACACCTCAAGTGCTCTTTAGAAAATTATTTCAGGCAAAAATGAGCACCTGAGTAGAACCACTAACTTTTGGTAAGCTAGTTGGATAGCTTTCTCACATGAAAGAATTTGAAAACGCTGGCGCAGATCAAACCTACAGTGGTGAGTTTGAAGTCAACGATCTTAACAACTTGGCAACATTTTAGCGCCCTCAACTGGCTTCTTTATAACTGTATAAACAAATGTAACAATCATCTTAAAATGAAATTATGCCTGTAAATAATTTGTCATTCCTATCACTTTCTCTGCTACTTCAGGCATTAAGTGCTTAATCATGTACAATACATTCCCCCTAAAGACATGTTTATCTTATAGGCTGAAAGGCATGTAAACAAATCATACATACCTAGATCAGAAAATGAGCTCGCCCTAGAATTACTCTGAGAATCACTTCTAAAATCAGACTTAGAATTTGTCCGTGAATCTTCGCAAAGGCTCGACTCACTCAAATATTCCGCCCCAGAGTCAGTTTTATAATACTCAAGAGCTGACAGTCGCTCTAGGCTACCCTGCCTTGACCCCCGGAGCGAACCCTGGGGCTCGGACTTTGGAGTGCTGGCAGCTAGTTCCTTCTGACGCACCTCTAATACTGAGATAAAATCATTTATCTCATTTACAATGTCAACAAACTCGTCAGAAAACTCTGTACTCGGATGATTTTTAAGGTTTTGTTTTCTGTAGTTTTCCATTATTTAGTTTTAACACTCCGAATAAAACCTATAAAACTCTTACACAGGTATGTCTCTCCAAAGAAAATTAAAGACCTGCACAATTTCAAAAATTAATTCCTTCCCTTAAACGTCAGTACAAGTTTATAGTCAGTGATTTATGTAATAACAAAGCATGGCAGACTTCTGTTACATTTCATTGACTTCTAATTTACAAAATGGCATCTTTCACTGCAAAAATAAAAACCACACCAGATAATTTCCAATTCTCAAAGTCTGAAATTCGCATTACAAGCATGTTCTGAGAGTTGAAACATCTGCTTCAATATAACCCCTGAATAATTATCCACATAATTCAGTTGTTACAGTATCAATTCCATCTCTTTTTTTTTTCCAAACAACCCTTCAAGCTATAATTAAATACTATATTTGAACTTGAGACTCTTTGTCTTAATAAATTTTAGTTAAACAAGAAACTCTCCCACTAATAGGCACATTTAGCTGATTTTACACATTTTATTTTTGTAAAAACTATGTTAGAATCAAACTATAAATTATAACAATGCTTCACATTCTTCCTAACCATCCAATATTACACACTATAAGATGTATGTAATAAAATATTAGAAAATATTTTTTATCTTTTATTACGGAATTAATTTCCAATAAAAAAAAAACCCAATCAAATGGCACTATAATACATACATGCAGAGTATTAAAATACTTTTTTTTTCTTTGCCATTCAATAACTGTATATACATGTACATATCAATGAAACAGCAAAAAATATTAATTTTTGCCTAACTGCTGAAATTCCATTTGAATAATCTCTACTTGATCTCTCCTTCCGACCACTTCACATGAAGCACTTTTATGTAATTTGTATGTTTTAACATATAAACAAGATATCTATATATTTATCCAGTCATCAAAGAAATTCTAAATCCAGCAACTAATGCACACAACGGGTCAACAACTTGCTTAAAAAGACATGCCACTGAGACTGCTCTAAAAATAGTAACGGAAAATCTAAGACTGGTTCACAAATTTTTTTTTATTGTTTCATTCACTAGTCTAAACACTTCAATTTTTAAATATTTCACTTCAAAAAATACCATTCCACCTCCAGCAAACACTACACCTACACAATATTTCTCAGAAAGAAAAAAAATCCATATTTCTTTAAATCTTTTTTTCTATCACTCTATTAAAACTCAAAAATCAGAGAGATAGCACTGTTTAAAAGAGGTGTACATATTCCTCCCAGTAACAGGTTAATATTGGAACTGGCTGGCAGCTTATCAGAACATACGATAAGAGAGAAAACTGCTAATCTCTACAATCAGCAAGCCAGAGAGTATTTATATATATTTCTGAGGTAATGGCTAATATATACGCCAGCTGGAGGCCATAATTACTGGAGAATCAGGGAGATTCGAGCCAGCAGCATTTTATTAAGCAAAAATCAATACACACACAGATTTCTTACTTAAAACATTAAAAGGAACCTTAGCATGACACTATTGTATCGAGGACCAAGATGAAAAGAATGTACGTAAGTCACTTAATATAGCAACAGGTTTTAACCATGCTACTAGTGCAGACCAAAATAAGCTGTCTGATCATAATCTGCACTGTTCACTAATGAGTCAGTTTTTTAAAACTAAAAATGATAAATGGCTTGCCCATTTGCAGTCTCAAAAGAATTAGAACAAAATTAATGTCTCAAAACAAAAATACATATCAAACAAGCGAAGAATGCTTGATTCATTAGGGTGATAATTGTGCAATTATTATCTCATCGAAATATCGCTTTTCTATAGGATTTTTTACAACTGTTGCCAATAAATATATAAATGTAAACATTTCCTTGTATTCCAAAGTCATTGAGCAGAAGCATACTGTTATCTTTATACTGTCTGAAAGAACCACAAGATATTTGCTTCACTAAGCTTTAAAAATGCTCAGCTATTCATACATGTATCTTAGAATAATCAAGCTAATAATACTGACTTTAAACTAAGCCTACATAACACTAATGGAATCAATTCTAACATGACTTCATTTAGTACAATGACAAGAACCAATTATTTTCATTTATGCCCAGCAGCTTCTGACCATAAATATAAGTTGTATATGTATCAACACTGTCAAGGTCAAACAGTGACTTTCTAGCTTTAATGGTGAAGAAAGACACAAGGTATCCCTCTTTTCATAAGCATACTTTAGAGTAGAACCATGAACATTGCCAAAGGTAAGCAATTTGCAAGTAATATAACTACTTCACATAAATAAATCAAAAGTCCCTGGCAAGATTCAAACCCACAACTGTAAGCAAATGATTTTAAATCAATAACTTTATCTCCTGAATCACAGAGGCCCCCAGATTTTATTTCTAAAATCTATTCATCATTAACTGTTTAAAATCAAAACTTTTGTACAAGATCACATAATCAACATTCCTGGGAAAACTGACCAATCAAAATCTTCAAATTTCTATGAACACTTCTAATAAAGATGAAAAATCATGGGATATTCATCTGGCAATCTGGCACAAAAGATGTTTATTTCCATATATTATCTGCAGTTGACATTCTGGTGCTAAATAACTGTATGGTGACTGACCTGTTTAATGACAACAATGATTTCCTCAAAAAAGTTGGGAAAAATCATACATCATTTTTTTAAGAAAAAAAAAAACAATTGAAGTTGTGCTAAAACATACAATTATAATAGGAAACACAAAATTTCCTTGTCTGACTTAAGGTTTTACAAAACAAAAACTTTTTAAACAATTTTCATCATAAATATAAAGGCTTATCTATTGTCAATTATCCTCAAACGTTGAGCGAAAAGGTATATAATGTATTTGCTATAATATTCTGGTGCAATTTCTTTTATTAATTTGCAGTTTGATTTACTAAATGTGTTATTGTCCATCTAATACCCAATTTAAATGTTTGTTTATGTTGAAATTCAGTGTAAGAACATTTAGAACTTAAATTGTAAGCAGGATTTAAATTGTGACAATAGGAGCATATTCTAGTTTAGCTCGTGTAATGGTAGTAGTTATTGTAATATAATACATGGCTACAACAGAACCCTGCCGTGTTTCACAGGTGACCCTGGTTTCTTTGCAAAACTTGTCTAGTGCATTGAAACATGGTGCCTAAGCTTTTCAGGTCTCATCCGAAAGTGACTGGTGACTGTGGTGCAGCAGGGTTCAAATCTGATACATCTGGACTACTAGTCCACCACAAAACAATGATTGAAAATCACATGTACCACCTGTCCAACAGCAAAAAGCTAGTACAATTCAACATCTAACTACTTACACTATTCCAATAAAACAATTTAAAATGTCACAAAATATTCTGTGACTTTGTGTAAGAAATTTTAAAAATGGCAGCAAATACAGAACCTATTGCAAATAACACTGACAATTTTATTATGGTATAAATGAACCCCACTTGTGATTGTTTTATTCTAAGCATTAAACTATTTTCTAATTCATATCTTAGCATCTCATTTACCTTATAAACTTTTTTATATGAAAAGAAACTAATGAGAAAGACTATAAAGAAATTATGTAGAACAAGATTTAACAATCAGTCAAATCTTTATTTTACTAAATACATGTACTTTGAATTTAACAAAATGTATAGATGCCTAGACTACTAGATATTACAATGTGTGAGTTCAGTATACATGTAATCACTTATGACAGGAACATCACTACTGTGACATGTATGGTCTAATAACAGATATTACTATAAGCCTATTTATAATTAGAATAACCGTCCAGTTAGCTCAATAGGTAGAGCGTTGGACTGTAAATCAGGCGACCCGATTTCGATTCAGGGACAGTACAGGTCATTTTCGCAATTGATTGATCATGAAGTCTTTTCTACTATCAGTTGCTCTGTACCTCTGCTCTGGCATATCCAGAAGTTCCAGTACCTTGAAAGCAACTACTTACTAGTATGGTAAACTGCTTGACACCACCCCAGGAATAATGCCGTGGCTGAACTGTACTCTAGTAAATTCATTGTGGCTTACACTGACTGTCATAGTATCAAATTACGAGTGTATTAATTACAATTGTTTATTTCACAGTGAAACATCAATTACAACAACCAATGTCAGACAGGACACTTAAGACTATGTAAGAACCCATATGATGTAATTGGAGCAAACCTCTTAATGTATTAATAACATTTATGTATTAGAACATAATTCTTGACATGGTTTCTATTACTTATAATTCAAGATTACATTTTTCATTCCTTTCCCTTTATTTCTTTGGTTCTCAATCATATAAAAGTCAGAAAATGTCTTGTCTGCAAAATAATTTTATTAGATCAAAGGCCATTCAGTTAGGCCCAGACAGATTATCATAGGCCCTTACGATTTTTGGAATTTTGCACGTCTGAATTGGATTTTACAGACCTTGGGAATCGACTGAGTGCCTCATTTTGCACACTGGATGTCTATTTATCTTTGAAAAATTTGCACTTATATTGGTAGACTTTCTGTACAGAGTTGTCTTTTGCATACTCGTCCTGTCACAGTATACAAGCTGTAACCTTAAGGTTAGCTCATTAGTTAAGCGTATTGGACTGTGTATCAGGAGACTTGGGTAGGATTCCTGGACGATGCAGGTCACTTTCATTGTGATTGATAATGAAACTTTTACTACAGTCACTGACTGGCATTATATCTCAAAGTGTGTATTTGTAATATGTTTGACAGTCTGCTCATGAACGAATTGGTGACTGAAATATGCTCAGCCAGAGCAACAGATAAGGTGCATTTCTGCGTATTTATGCAATTAATTTTATAAAATATACGTAATTGATTTTTTTAAAAAGGGTATCAAAACCCATTTAAATAAATAAAATACGCAACTGTCTTCAAAAGCCACGAGTATTGTCATTTTCATCACCACAAAATTAACTTGTCATACGCTGGAAGTTTTGGACAAATTATATAAATAGATAAGCATCCTATCGGAATATCACCAAATCAAATGCTAACTTATTGACAGTCTCTGGTCTTTGAAGGTCCCCAGTTTCCAAAGACCGGCGAAGCCATATCAATAAAGCAAGAGACCGTCAATCAGGTTGACGGTCTTTACAGACTGGCAGAGACTGTTGATCAGGTGGACAGTCTTTACAGACTGGCAGAGACTGTTGTTTTTGCGGGGACCATCAATTAGAAGGTCCCAGCTGTATGAATAGATGCTTTGCAATATGGCATCGTACATAGGGACGAAAGAAAAAAAATGAATACCCAATTGACTTTAAAATCATAGGGTATGGAATACCTAATTAAATGGAGCTAATACCCAATTCCAAAGAAAATTATTGAGAAATACCGAATTCACATTCAAAGCTTATCTGTTGCTCTGTGCTCTGGTGAATCAAAGAGGCTTACTGCCGGGGTCCGGATGGTAAACAGCAACAACACTACCAGTTTAACTTCCTCAAAAGCTGCAAATTAGGTAATCTGAAGTTCTACTTTGGCTATTCATATGAAAATAAGTTAACTTATGAATGTTATCTCACCTTTTTGTCTATTTCATTTGAATTAAGAATCAAAACCTGAGAAAATTAAAAAATATTTGAAAAAATAATTTTTTGTCTGGAACCGGAAGCATGAATCATAGCGGTGTTTACGTACGAATTAAAATTACGTGATTGTGACAATCATATTTTTAAATTTAAGATGACTGACTCTGTTAGTTGCATCTTCTGCAAAATAGCAAACGGGAATGATGAAGAGACAGAGCTCCTGCATAAGGTTGTTTATTTTGTCATTGTTTCAAAGTGATAAAATCGGTTCGTTAACAAGATTTATTGCGTAGGTATAGCATTTAGGTTGAAAGCCACTATTTCACATATACGCCCATTTAATTTAGTACATGTCTCTCAATGCCTATTTTAAGCTTACAAATACGATTTTTTGATAAAAAGAAAGCAAATGCGATTCAGAAAGCTTAAAGTGAAATTATATATAACTATACTTATGTTCTGTTTGACAAAAAAGTAAATTTTCACGGCTTTAAATTTTGCATTTTTGTATGTTATTATGATAATGTTTTTAACATTTATTTAGCTTATCTTTGCAGGATGATACGCTAGCCGTTTTTAGAGACATTAGACCTGCAACTCCTCATCATTTCCTTGTAGCGACTACTGAGCATATTCCTGACGCAAAATATCTCAAGTTCGAACACCTTGGTCTAGGTACGGATATACACTGTATATAGATCTATCTGTCTCAGGTAGCGTTTTTAAAAATAAACAACAGACTACTATAGTAACTTTTTCGTCTAACATGAAGACAGATCTAAGATATTTTTTATCCTGAAATTGCTTTTTGTGAACTTGCATAAAATGGATACTTCGCTTGATAGTGATATTATATAACCTATTTCTCATTACTTGCAATTTCTTAATGCTTGTTTTCAAACTTATCACAATTTAATGTAAAAATTATAGGATTATAATTTTATTCGATTAAATACATCTCAATATATGTTTTGAAATGTCAAATTTGTACCTAAACAAAACAGCAAAATAATTAATACACACATCAAATTTCATATTACATGTACAATTTCCTATAAAATTAAAATGATTTTATGTGTTATTAAAAAAGCTAGGTGTTTATATCATTGGATCATAAAAAAATATGTGTTTATATCATTGGATCATTTTGAACAAAGTCATTTGGGTTGATATCAAAGCCGTAAGTGTCCCAACGATTTACTTGTACATGTACATGTATATCCAGATGTTTATACATGTTTTTTACAGTCCAAAGAATGGTAGAGGTCGGGAAAGATGTTGTTCAGAAACAAGGGGGAGACATAAATGACTTAAGGTAATATGGTTGCATAGCAACGATAGAACTGTTGCATGGCAACGATGAAAATGTAGTTAAGTCGTAGTGCAATTCTTGTATGATACTCATGTGACATTTGTGGCACGGATTAATCACACTTTGCACATGTGAAACTAGATGAACTCTACCCCTTACTTACATCTAATGATTCACGCGTTGACAATATCAGTATCGAAAGTAACTAGGGTCTATTTAAGCCAATTGGCCATTTCTTTGCCTTTAATTGTGGAAGAAGACTCCATTTGTCCCTCTGTACATGTACATTATTAAAGATACGAACGTTTCATGCAACATCCTCTGTAACTATGCAGTTATAAAGCTTTAAAAGTTAAGATTTCATGGAAATGTATAGATGTGTTTAATACAGTAATATATACTCATAAGCAATGTAAGTAATTATACAGTATTGGCATATTGCTTTCAGAATGGGGTTTCATTGGCCGCCGTTTCATGCCATATCTCATTTGCATCTGCACGTGATTTCGTCAACCAATCAAATGGGATTTATTGCAAAGGGTATTTTTATGGAACGCGCGTTTTGGTTTGCAAAGGTAAGTGATTACAATACAAATTTTATATGTTTGACATCTATAATTTGATGTACTGTGACGACAGGTCTGGCATATTAATTGTTGAAACATTATTCGGATATCATACTAAAATTTTGAAAAGTTGAAATTAAAATCCAAACTGAACTTACATGCATCTCTCTAGTATGCGTGTTTTATTGGATTTGACATTGCATTATATTATAAGTAATAGAAAGAGCACCGAAACACGAGGCTATCTGATTTGTACGAGGGGGCGTAGCCCCCGAGTATAAATCAGTTTGCCGAGTGTTTTGGTGTTCTTTCTCTTTTGTATCATAGTCAAACATAACAGCACCTTCCCTGTTGTCATAATATGAAACCCCAGAAAAAATTAACCAATGAACGAGCATTTAAATATAATAGTTCTGCCCCTTTCCCTTTCTCTGCCGTCATAATATGTAAACCCCGGCAAAAATGAACCAATCCACGGGCATTATCTGGAGTGCGGGTAACTGATACCCGCACTCCAGTTACCGCACTGTGCATGTATATGTATACGATTTAACACTGACACTTTTTCAACAGAAAGGTACCCAAACTATGATACAACATGTAATACTATATGCGAATAAGGCTTTATGAATTCTTTTACCTCATCATTCACCGACCTAAATAATTGTTGTCCGATTGGCCAAATCTAAGTTATAGTTGGAGCTGAATTTATACAAATCGAAAATTGCTCAAAAGATGCTATCGCGGCGATGCTGAGGAATATAATGAAGTATTTGATCTGAAAGGGTTCTGTACTTTATTATTATAATGTATTTGTCATAACATTGAACGGAATACTGCTTTGGAAATATAAGTGTAAAGCTGATTGCCCATTTAATGAAGTAAATGTCTAATTTGACGTCATACAATGATGCTAGTGTCCGTCTTGTTTATTTTAGGTTGAGTGGTTGATAGACAGGCTGACCAAGAAGGAGGAGAAAATCCAGTCTACTAGCAATGAAACTTGACCAATGTTTTAGCAGGATTTTTATTACATAATGACAATTTATAATGTATAGAGGTACTGAAGACAGTTGTACTTGGATAATAAATATATATATTTATAAAAAAAATAATTACGATAATAAGAAAATGTTATTTAAAAAAATTACCCTCGTTTTCACGTTCCTTGTTTCTTTTTCAATCTGTGACAGCCACAAAACACACAATTATAAGCATTGGAAATACACGAGTGTATTCTTTAAGAATGCGGCGCCTGTTCGTTTCTTAGCCTCAGTATAAACAAATACTTGTATTCTTGATGAATTCAGAACCCATTGGTTCGGACGATGTTATCAATATAAGTCAATAAATCTAATCGAGCCTGCATCCTTTTCAGTTTTGTCCCGTTTTCCTCTATTTTATTTTAATTACACCGTTCTTGGTTATAAAGTTTACAACAGCAGGTGTCAAGTGGCGTGAGACAATCATCTATAAAATGTTGCCCAGTACTTCACTTCAGTGTTGTTATATTTTTTTCTGGTCCCTCGGGATCATTGATCGCAGCACATATTCACCGTAGGGAACGTGTTACAGTATCGCGTTTTTCGGTTACAGTATAGAATTTTAAAGATGGAGGAATATTTATGGAAAGAGAGGTAGGTGATTTTTATTCCGGTCCATACTTCAAGTAGTTTAGTTTCTGCTTTGTTTGTTAGGAACAGAATCCGGTATGTAGTCATATATATCTTCAGACCCTGCACCGCAGATTTATCGATATATTGTCTCATAAATTTGCATATTTGTAAGTTTGAAAATTTCAATCGAGAGACCAACGCATTTTTCTGCAATTTCGGCATTATTTATGTATGCCTGGAAAAAGTAAATCTACAAAACGTTAGTCCTTTATGTTAAGAAACGTTTATAAAAGTAAATGACTTGTTGAACCGATTTTGCTGTTGGTAAAATGCGTTTGAAGAAATAAACAATGTTACAGTATATAGAGCGAGGTAATTTGTGCAAGGTTACACGGTGCATATCCATATCGGTACCCTCTTTGGAAAATCTGCTGAAACGGTACCCTCTCTGAACATGCACAGGTCATTCTCTGCTAAAAACAAACCAGCGATGGATACCAATCCAGTAAAATTTCATTGTAATAAGGAAAGGAGGTATGTCACGTAGAAAAGATGTATACCACGGAACACTAGGATGTTTTATTTATGTGCTGATTTGTCATGTGCACGATTTTCATGTACTGCAACTTCACAATAAGCTACAAAAAATCGACATGTCTTGCTTCGCCCATCACCTCGACATATTTTTCGGGCTGAAATGAACCTGTGGCTTGATTATATATGCATCATACATATTTAATATGTTCATATACATATCATCTTCGGACAAATGGCAGTATATTGTCAAAAATAAATGTAAAATTCATAAAAAGACCCTACTTTCGGTTTTGCAGCGGCACGGGCTACCTCTCTTCATTTGAATTTTTATATCACAGGTACCCTCTCATTATTGAACACATAGGAACCCTCAAAGCACGACATATACTTTTATTTGCGTTA